GGATATCGTTTTCCGTCAGAACATAGAGTTCTGCCCCCTCTACAACTTAGCCCTCAGTGCCTTAAAGGCGGTACAGACATGCTTAGCTCGGAAAATTTCATGGGAATATAATCTTAAAATATTATTTAAGCACAGCTTCTTTTGATTTAGTCACTCATTGTCGTTTCCATTCTTCTCCCGTTCTCCCAAAGAATCCTCTATTAGAGTCTCCACTGATCAACACACGGAGTTTCACCGGTAGATAAACCAGAACTTCCCTCTTTATCTGGTATCGAAAGTTATCATCTAGTAAGAGGAGATCGATACGGATAGTTCCGAATAAGAACTGTACCACCTCAGAGACACTTTGTTGATTTATTTTGGTTTATTATTTTCAATGATGAACCATTGTATTAAAATCTTAACTCCCTCTCAAAATTTGAGGTTTTACGTTTCACGATACGTAGAATTTGAAAAAGGAATACAAATTTTTTTGTCCGTCCACCGTCCACCGTCCGCGGTCAGCGCATTTTCCCCGAAACTACTGAACCGATTTTTTTCAAATTTGGATTTAAATAGAATTAACCCGAGGAAGATCCTCCTTCATCGACATTTCTATCCGCCTTTTCCTTTCAAGATGGCGACCGAAAAACCGATTTCAATGAAACTTTGCTAAAAGTCTTCTTCTCCGTGCCCTTTAAAATTATTTATGTAACATACTTCATCGAAAAGAAGCTGGAAAAAAATGTAAAATTAGATTATGAATAACTCAAAAACTATACACTTTTTTGTTGATATTGTATAATTATTTAAAAGAAGAAGCTTCTAGACCGACACCCTGGTGGAGGACGAAGAATAGGTCGTCCTAGATTGCGATGGATGGAGGAATTGTCGTAAAATAAAATTATTTTTTTATTATTACATTTGTTATTGTTTTGATTTACAATTTCAATAACACGAATATAATACAATAAATATGAATACGATGATAGGAATTACGAGAAGCCTTATCAGTGCCTTAACAGAATTATCAGTGTTCAGGTTACAAACATTGGCAGATAGCAGTCCGTCCCGTCTATTGGACAAGTGCCTTTAAGATATTGTAATCCATATGCCAAAACAGTTCCATTAGTCGAATCCAGCAGACTTTACCCGAGCATTACACATCGGAGATCTGACGGCTCAATGTAATTTACTCTTTACAAAATATATTTAAAATTCGCCTAAAAATGTTATATATATATATAGTAAGGGAAAATAAATTTTCTAATCCACTTGCGAAGTCTTCGAGATTTCAATATCAAAGCTGTACAAAGAAGAGAAAAATAAAACAAGGAAATTTTGATTTTTCATATAAAATCATAATAAAGAAAAAAAAATAAAGCAACAAAGGTTTAGGAGGAGAGGGGGGTTTTGTTTTACAGTGTTAGTAGGCTTCAAAAGAGCCGCTATAGAAGCATGCTCCGGTGTCAAACAAGCATCTCTTACAAAGGGACTTCGTCGAATACTTTTTTTTTACAAGGGACATCCACCATTAGTCGGGCTACAAGTCATTATTTAGAAGGGAATCTTATATAATAGGCGACATTATTAAACAAATGTAAATAGCTTCGTGGAAATCTTATTGTTCTTATGAGAATAAAGGAAAATTTACAGAGAGTAATTTCCCTTAAAAAACTCATTATAAACCTTGTCCTGTTCTTTTTTTTTTTCAACTAAGTACATTGTTTGAAATAAAAATTTATCTTTCAAATTATCTTTGAAGCCTTCTTTGTTTAAGAAAATGACAACTTAATAAATTTAAAACAACCATTATTTTTATTTGTCTTGTAAATTACTGATCAACAAGACAATCCTGAAACCGATCTGGAAATACGGACAATAACTGTGATAGACAGCAATATTTTGTTACATAAAACCCATTCAATCCTTCTATTCTTAAGTCCCCTGAACAATATCTAATGCTGCCTAAATGCAAGACCGAGACGAGTCTTGTTCTTGGAAACTCAGTCTATTCATTGGACTCAGTTTATTCGAGACATTGGTCTTGCGCAAGAGTCTCGCAACAGTCTTGTAGATACTTATTAGCTTATTCCTGTAGAGATATCACTGTAACTTTTACTGTTCCTTAATTATATATGTAATATATATAGTAAGGGTAAGTATTGCGATCGTGAATTTTTTTGAATCTGAGTTTTCAACGGAAAACACGTGTTGGGGTACCCTGTGTCCAAATAACCCCGACAACCAAAAGTCCCGAAAAATGGTCTGTGTGGCTGTGAGTCTGAGTGTATATTAGCAGTCTAGCTCGAAAACAAAAATTCGTGTGAAACTGATATTACGTATTTAAGATAGGTATATCCCAATAGATAATATAGAAATTATTAGTGAATAATTTGATGAATATTCCCTTTATGATATTCCAACAGTATTCACTACTATTTCATAATACTTTTGTGAAAGAAGAAGTGAAATATAAAAATTTTTCATACATTCGTTCATAACCTTAAATATATTTACTATAGTTTAATAACTCTAGATCTGATATTATATTTAAATATTTAGGTATATATCGTTCGTTTATTCCGAAAAATCATCATGTAACCTTTTAGCAAATTAAATTAGTGAATAACTTGATAAATTTTCCTTTTGTGATATTCCAACAGTATTTACTTCCAATTAGTGTGACAACTTTTGACCTGTCTATGATAGAAAATGCAAAAATCTGAATTCCGTTTTAGCAATCTTTACAAAGGAAAATAACATTTTAATAACTAATATTCGTACAATCCATAATCAACGGAACGTGCAATCCAAAATCAACCGGTGATATAATAAATAGGACTTTTGTTATTTTAATAGGTTTTTTGACTTGTTAGCTGCAATCTTTTAGCTTTAGCTCAGTTAAAAATGCAATTCAAAAATTTTATAATAGCCCAACATGGCCAGTAAATAATTTCTACTTAAAGTTGAGAGGTAAGTGAAAGTTGTGTGTTCCGCGCACCAGATTTTTTAGATAGGAGAAACCTAACTAAGCCAGAATGAAAAATTAGAGGAATTAAAAGCAAAACTATATTGGTTATACGAATTAGTAACATATAGTAACTAAGATTGTCGATTATTAGTAACAATAGAGTATTAGTTCAAAAAATTGATATTTTTTTTTACCAGTAATGGTATTGCAACAGTTAGGCGGCCTTGGTCTTGGGCTTCCAAAATGCAAGACCAAGACCGATTTTGGGCAACACTAACAATAGTCAGTGCTCCCTTCAATGTAACCGAAAAATCCCAGCATAGTGACCTTAATGTCCCATTTATTCTTGATCTAATTAAAATATTATTTTCCAAATTCCAAATCATCTGAATTCATTATTACAATCTATTTGTTACACCACCTATCACTGTAACCCTCCTCGTAGGTAAAAACGAAAAACAATAATAAAACAATAAAATAAATGTAACGATAAAAATAAATAATATTAATTTTAAACAAATAATAGTAACATTCATTACGGCAACATTCTTTACGTTTTTATACAAAATCGATGATAAAACCAAACGTTAGGTAGATATCAAACCTTAACCTTAAATAAATGTCTCGAAACTATTTGCAATTATCATCCGTTATGTTGATTGAACAATGTTAAGTAACATTCGTTTTGTATCATTTTTGATACATAGCATATTTTGAGAGAAAAAAATTATAGTATCCAGCTATCTCTTTTGTGCCTCAATATTACGCATGGACAGATAACTGGCGCTATAGACACATACTTTTAAATCATTTTCTGTCATTAAATGTACAGTGATGTAAGAAAAGCCGGTAACATTCGTTACGACCATTGTTGCCAGTCTTGGTCTTGCAAACTCAATCTTGGTCATGGTCTTGGTCTTGCGCAAGAGTCTTGAAGTTACTATTACCATAGAGTTATTACTGTAATTTTTTAGACAGGAGAAACCTAACTGAGCCCAAATGAAAAATTATAGGGGTTAAATGCAAAAGCAAATTCGTTATACCGATTATTTACATATAGTAACTAAGATTGACAAGTATTAGGAACTATTTTGCCTTAATTTTTATTTTTAAAAATCGATTTTTTTCTACCAGTCCTGGCCTTGGCTTGGTCTTGTAAAGTGCAAGACCAAGACCGATTTTGGGCAACACTAGTTACGACGTTTTTATCCAAATTTTCTGGACAAACCAATTTTCCTACTTTATAATAAAAGTATTTGAGATAACTAATAAAGGTATCTATAATTCGAAATGCTATCAAATAACTGTAAAATTCTCCATATTGTTAAACATTAATGGATATATATTATGTCCTATCAAAGCATAGAGAACTTCTCATCCTACCTTTGGGACGGTACCATCATTCACAACGTTTTTTTTTTTTTTTTTTTTACTTTTCTACCTATTCTAGGTAAAAAAAGTATTGCAATCGGGTCAAATATATGCTGCTTTCGACGGATCTACACGTTTCAGAGCCCCCTGAGTCCGAAAATCACAGTTTTAGCTATTGGCTTGTCTGTCAGTTTGCCTGTCTGTCATTTGAAAGGTAATGAAATTCCCAACAAATCTATATAGAAATCGTTCACTTTGGACAACTATTAACAAAGTTACAGCTATTCAATTTCCAATGTAATATTACGGGTTCATACTCTGGTGTCAGAAAGCGGTGAAATGGGAAAAACAAGATGACTAAGTCAAAGTAAGAAAATCTGTTGCCCCTCATCACACATGCTTCACTATTTCCTATTATTCCTACTATAGATTTACTTTAATTTCACCATTCCATTCTTTAGAAACAATGCAAAAAATTAATACCATTACTTTTTTTATTAAACTGAATAGACATGTAAAAAACGTAATGTAAAGCCCGAGGACTTCAAACGATCAAATAATATTAAAATGACCCAGCTATCTAATTGGGCTATACTATTATATAGTAAATACTTATGATTTAATGAAGAAAATATTTCTTGTATTTTGTAGATATCCATGTATGGCGTGTCAAAACAGCCAGTGAAGAGCCATTATGCCAAACATGGAGGGAGCTGACACACTGAGAAAAAGAAGATAAAGAAGAAGGAATTGCGAACTGGCGTGGAATTGGCAATCCGGCGTGGACAATGGCAGCTCCAATCCGGGCCACAAAGGCCTCCAACAACTCTACTAAATTACCAACCGCTGTCCTCAAACCTTCTCTTTCTTTTACACATCGTCTCCAATATCAATTCTACTCCTTCATCTTCAATCACCTTAGCCATCTTTACCAAAACATCTGCATAAAATCAACTCAGCAATATCTACCTAAAATATCTTTAAGGTTGGACAGTTAGCTGGGGGTTATCAGTCAGTGATAAACACAAATGATGTAAAAACAAAAAATGTCTTCCTAGTATGAGTTATGATTAATTAGGACTAAGGACTTGATTGGAGGTAGGAAAAAGATGACATAACAACAAAAAAATTATTAAACTAATATTTTAAAATGATCTGAGAACGAAATATCTGTTATCTCATAATGAATAAATTCTGAGAAAAAAATAAAAATATTCTTTTTTTATTTTTTCTGTTGGTATTACATAGCACGTAAATCTTTTGCCGCCTTAAACAAGCCTCCTCCATCTATGCTAGTGTTGCCAAATGCGAGACCGAGACAAGTCTTGGTCTTACAAACTCAGTCTTTGTCATGATCTTGGTCTTGCGCAAGAGTCTCGCTAGAGTCTCGCAATTAATTATTACCTTTTTAGTATTAGAGATATTACTGTAACTTTTTAGATAGGAGAAACCTAACTAAGTCTGAATGAAAAATTAGAAGAGTTAAATTCAAAAGTGTATTGGTTATATCAATTAATTATATATTGTAACTAAAATTGTCGAGACCATTTTTGGGCAACACTGATCTCTGCCTGTCTTGGGCTACTTCTTTCGATTTATTTGCATCCAGCTCTATTCCATCTTTGTTGATTCTATCTATCCATCTGCTTTTTGGGCGTCCACGTAGTCTTTTGCCTTCTATTGAGGCATGTATTGTTACGTAGAGGCTTCGAAATGGATCGCTACGAGCTACATGCCCCGCCCATCTTAACCTCCGTACCTTCATATCATGGGATATTGATTGAATAGTTTCTGTAAGCAGTTCTTTATTGGTCTTTTTTCTCCATGTATTAGTACTCTGATCCCAAATTGATCCGGTTATCATGCGCAGAATTTTCCTCTCTCAATTTTTGTCGATTTCCTCTTTCAATTGGAGAATTTTCCAAATCTTTCAACACTTTTTTCCACATTGCTGGTTAGTGTCCAGGTCTCTGAGCAATGTATTAGAACTGGCCTTATCATAGCTTTGTACACCCAGAGTTTTGTTGAGTACCTTTTTTGAGATTTTTCGAGATTTCAATACCTTTGAAAGGGAGAAGAGAGCTCTGTTTGCGCTAGGTATACGCTGGTCGATTCCTACCCGTTGCTCATTCAATGATTAGTTATTGTGGAGCTGAGGTATTTTAATTTTTTACTTTCGGTAATGATTTTCCTTCCACGCAGATTCTGTTATTGGGGTGGAATTTTTGGCATATTATCATATATTTAGTTTTGCCTTTATTTACTTGTAGGCCGATCTGCTTTGCCTTTCTTATCATTTATTTATTATTAAATAAATAAAACTATATTATTATAATATTTTTTGGTTGTAAAGAGAGAGAAACAAAGGCCAGAATATCAGCAGGAAATATATGCTATTTCTCATTGCAATGGTACTTGAAATTGAGATCACTCATTAAAAGAACCGAAATCCTCATCTACAAAACCATAATAAGACTAGAGGTTATGTATGGATATGGACCTTAATCAAAAATTCAGAAAGCATGCTTAATTCCTACGAGAGGAAAGTATTGAGAAGAATATGGAGCGGAATCTCGAATAAGGGAATGCGGAGAAGAAATAATGAGGAGCTGCGGGAACTGTATGGAGAACTTGATATTGTAGCATTAATAACAAGAGTTCGGATAAGACAGATATGTCATGTGGGAAGAATTCCAAAGAGGATGCTCTATGAGAAGCAGACAAAAGAAGTACAGGACGTCCTCGGATCTTGCTGGAGGATGTGGAAGATGGTCTGAGGTGACTGGATGTTCGAAGATGGAGTGAAACAGAACTTTCTTGGCTGTAGGGTTCTTGCAAGGCCGTAACGCCATTACGTTAAGGTGTGAAATATATTGATAATCTGTACATATTTAAAATATAATATAAGAGAGAGGGATTAGATGCACAAATAAGGATAAATACAAATAAATCGGTTTCAAAATAAACTCAATGAATGACCAACGATTAGAAATAAAAGAGAGATCTGGACAATAACCAGCACCCTGCAAAGAAGTATTGAAAAATCCTCCGCACGTTAACCGGAACGATCTAGGATCAGAACACTTACCCATGGTGGAGAAAATCATGGAAGTGTGAGAAACTGGTCAATCAATATCTCATGATATGAAGGCAAGGAGTTTAAGATGACAGGTAGCTCGGAGCAGTCCATCAGGAAGCCTCTACGCAACAACGAATCCCTTAATAGCAGAGAATTAGGCTACTGTATCTGAGTATTGGAAAATAAAAGTAATAACAGGTGAACGGAAAATATGTGACATATAAGATTTTAATAATAGGAAGTGATATAAAGTAACGGCGACAATGAATAAAGTAATGAAATATAAAATTACTTTTTATTTGTTAAGTATATCAGAGAGTATTTTCAACATGGTACTTAGGAACTACAAAGACTGCTCATGATTAAGGCAAGGTAAGATAAGCTCACTATAGAGGCTGACTTGGCTGAGAGCTAAATTATATCGACACTTCACTAAACGGTTTACTGACAGCTCCGGTATTAGCCGTAGATTGATTAACGTCCCAACTTAGCCATCTTCCAACTTGTTCCCTTATCTCTTCTTAATAGCTGATAATTTTCATAGGAGTAGATCAGGCAGCGAGAACATCTTCTGCATCAAGCGATTACTTCCAGTTAGTCAGCCAATCTACAAAATAAAAGATCTGTAAATATATTGTAAATAAATCTGGTGCGCGCAGCACCCAACTTTCACTTACCGCTCTTCTTTGAATAAAAATTATTTTCTGGCAATTCTGTGCTATTATAAAAGTTTTTGAAGTGCATTTTAAACAGAGCTAAAGCTTAAAGCTTACAGATAACAAGTAATTAAGACCATTGTAATTACAAAATGTCTATTTAATATATCGACGACAGGCAATAAAAATCTAGTCACTCAATCTGCTTTTATAAACCATACAACTTTTGTTGATTTTATAAACCACAGAATGACTAACTTCAATTTCAACAGTTTTGTAATGTCATTTTAGTGGTTTTGCAGTGTAGAAATATAGAACTGAGAATAAAGTTATAAATTTAGGTACTCATTTCTTATGAAAGATGTTCTTAGGAAAGATACTTTATAATATCTGTAGAAAAAAGTTTTTTTAGCCTGAACAATTAAAAAAGTATATTTTAAATTTATCCAAATGTTCGCCTCTTCAGGGAAAAAAACTAGAGACCATATCATTCCTCCTAATTGTCAGATTTTAACGAATTGTTTTTGTTTTTTTTTAGAAAATTTAAAAACCTTTGAAACATTTTATTACAATATCGGCAAAAAAGTGTATACTTTTTGAGTTATTCGGGATTTACCGGAGAGAAGAGAACGGCGAAGAATTCTTTTGTAGATGATTAATTTTAATCTTAGGTTTAGTTTTGGGGTTGTGAGGAGGTGACTAAATTTGTAGGATTTTTTTTCTTACTTTAGATAGTTTTGAAGTGCAATGAGCGGTAAATTTTAGATGTCTGTCAAGTTTAATTCCTAGATTGACCAAATGTCTTGATATTTTGTTGCATGAATTGCCACCTCGAAATTTTATAGGTATTTTTTCTTGTTTTTTTTTTTCAAAACGAAAAGATTATACTGTCTATTTTCGTTGAGTTTACTTCTATATTTAATAATTTTAGTTCATTTTGTATAATATTGCAGGCCTGTTCCAATTGTTTCAATGTTTTTGTAGCGTTCATACTGTTACTGTATATAGCAATGTCGTCTGTATATGCAATTACAGAAGCCATCATATAATCCTTGCCAATTATTTAGCTCTAAATTATCTTGATTATTCTATATCAATAGTCTAATAGGTAATCACAAGACTTGGAAGTATGGCTAGGTCTCTTCTTGGTCTTCCATTTGGGCAATACTAACCATACAAATTAAATACTTACTAATTCTGATATTCGCCTTAGAAAAGCGAACAGTCGGAAACGTAGCAATTGTCGCAGGACGATATCTTATTATGTTTCTAAATATTAAATGTTTTTAATGATTTCGAAATCTAAAATCGGATTTTATTTTTTTTTGTATGTTGTCTTGATTATTGTACACATATTAAAATATACAGGGTGTTGCAGAAAAGACTTAGGAAGATCCTAATCTTATAAACTGCATTCAAATAAAACCAAACCGAAAAAAAAACCGAGACTTGAGACAAGAAGTACAATCCTTCTTAGAGGATGCGGAGACAAAGCGACAAGAAGGAAAATACTGTAACCAGCTGGAGTAGCCAATTAACATTAAGATTTGAAAGTATTACCGGTAATTGTATGTAAAGGTGACCGTGGATGGATGTGGTCAGATGGCGGATAAGGGATAAAATAAAAGCTATGGATTAGAGGTAAAAGTAATTTGGGGCGAAGGGAAGGAGAAGGAGGAGGTTGGGAGATCTCTAATCTCTTCAGTACACGGCTCCAGCCTACTATCGCCTCTATCTCTTATCTCCTATCTTAATGATGGGCTCTTTCTGTTACCGCTTCTATTTGCATATTTTATCAGTTCTGCCGCTTTTTGGTCCCGTCTTTTTTGCTTTTGCTTTTGGTTTTCGAGTTCTCTCCTCCTATTGTTCTCAGCTCTTGTAGGTTCTTGCTACCTTAATGGCACCTATTAGTGGTGTCCAAGATCTGGTAATACAGCTACCAACTATGCAATATATAGAGGTATCTATTTACTGTCTTACAGCTATTTATTGTATAGCTGTTTTTACTAATTCTCAATTAAAATAAATCATACATGGGAAATATAACTGGAATATTATTAGTTAATGATCTCATAAGATCAGGATTTTTTTTACTGCCAACAGTCTCTTTTTTATTTTACAACTCAGCTCAACTTATTCATCTGTATAATTATAACACATCAATTAGGATATATACAGATACAAAGAATACAACTTTAGTTGCCAAATAGTTCCAATAATATGGAGGGTGCTGACAACAATTTCTCAGCACTCAGTAAGATGGTGTCCGACA